CCCCCTCCTCCTCCCCCTCCTCCTCCTTTCCTCCTCCTTCCCTTTCTTTCCTCCTCCTCCTCCTCCTTTGTGCTGAGGATGGAATCCAGGGCCTCACACACAGCCAAGAGAGCACTCTACTACTGAGCTACATCCCCAGCCCTCAAAATTCAAAATTTGCATTACTGCATGCAAAGCACTTTCCCACCCACATAGAATCCAAAGATCCAATAATGAGTCAGAGACCCTCTGTACTAATGGGAAGCACTGGAACACATTTGCATGGGAAATATCCATTTGGGAGTCCAAACCTCAGTAGTTCAGCTCAGGAATATTCCAGACCTTCGTGCCATGCATTCTCCATAGAAGGCAGTAGTCATCCTGAGGAGAGTGGAGGGGCGGTTTGTTCTTGAAAAGCCAGAGGGGAAAATATATTATTTTTATGTTTTGTTATTAAACATATCATTTTTTTTTTAAAGCTCCTACACACAGAGAATACGTAAATAGATACACAGGCTCCTGTGGTATTAAGTTTTCCTGGGGGAGGGGGGGCATTGAGGGGACCGACTACAAAGTCTCCAGGGTGGGTGGATAATGGGGAAAGATCAGTAAACACTGCTGGCAGAGGAATGTTCTGAGCAGGACTGAGGGTTTTCTCTGCCCTGAGACCCTGCTGAGCACTTGCCTTTCATTGACTTTCACGGCCACCACCCAAAGCCTGCCACTCTGCCTTGACTGATGGGAGTCACCCAGCCACCAAACCCACAGAGCCAAGAGTGGAATCCAGGCTCTCCAGCTCGAAGCCGGACCCTTTATTTGCCCTGCATTACAGAGGATACTGCAGGGTACATGCAGATTTCTGACCACCTAGCTGTAGAGAATACTGGAAATTAAAATCTTAAAAAAAAAAGAAAAGAAAAAAGCCATCAAGTGTGGCTTCCTTCCCTGGACTTCTTTGTAGAACTAGTCATAGCCCTTGACAATCACCTACTCATTCTTTTTTTTTTTTTTTTTTGTACTGGGAATTGAACTCCAGGGCACTTAACCATTGAACCGCATCTCCAGCCCTTTTATTTTCTATTTTGCACGCCTGTAATCCCAGTGGCTGGGGAGGCCAAGGCAGAAGGATCATGAGTTCAAAGCCAGCCTCAGCAAAAGTGAGGCACTAAGCAACTCAATGAAACCCTGTCTCTAAAATAGAAATACAAAACGGGGCTGGGGATGTGACTCTGTGGTAGAGCAATACCCAGAATTGTAAAAGGTGAAATAGAGGAGAAGGAAAAGGAGAAGAAGCCATATTCCCATATTTGTGTGTGTCTCTTCTAAGGTTCTAGGTGGTTTTCCTAGTGCCTGGCACAAACTAGATGCATGAGTAATGTTAACTGAATTAATAGAAGCAACTACATGAACTGTGTCAGTTAGCACTCACCCTAGGAATGCTGTGTAACAAACAATCCCCCAAACCAGACTCATACCATAAACATACAATAAATTTATTTCTCACTAACATCTGCAGGGTTGGCTGGGTTTGGGTTGCACTGGGTTGAGTTTGGCTGTGCTTAGCTCCAGGTCATGTGTTCTGATTAGACCTAGTGTCCTTCTTCTCGGACTGGTGAGCTACCCGGGGCAATTTCTTCCCATGGCATAAGTTGGATTTGCTTGAAGCAGCAAGCAGAAACTCACAATGATTTTATAGCATTGGCTTAGAACTGCCATGTCACATCTGCTATGTTATATTCATAAAAGAAAATCCTACCACCAAGCCCAACATCAATGGAGGTGGCCCAAGTGGGGTGAGGCATAATATTTACTGAACAGCAATTAATTGACTACAATAGTTAATACATAATAACATTTTATTATGTTCCAGGATTAATCACTTTATATGTATTAGCTGGTTCAATTCCAACTACCTTATGTGAAAGTTATATTATTTACCCCTACTTTAGAAATTAAGATGTTGAAGCTCAGAGATGTTAAGTAACATGCCCAGTAACAAACAGCTGGTAAGGAACAGGACTGGGAATCATTCCCAAACAAGAAATTCCAGAACGTTCCGCAATGTAATTTTACACACTGTCCCCATCGACAGGTGATCTGTTTTCTCAATGGAGGAGGTTACCTTTAATGTTTATCATGGACCGAAAATAAATATTGAAATGTGACACTGTCATGTACATGCTGAGATTGGACTCCGTCCCCAAGGAAGTACTCCACATTTTGTCCATTCATGCGTCATCAGGAAGCTCTGCACCTGGAAGGAACCTTTGCCCTCACCTCCGGGAACGTCTTTCAGACTCTTGAGTTGCAACTCATTACCAAGTTGCACAAGGAATTTTTTTTTCAGTGAAATAGAATTAAAATAAAATTAGAAATTGACATAGAAAAGAATAGAATCGAGTAGGAACGTGTCCGAGTGCAGCTTAGGCCTTCAAAGTTCAGTTTTTTGAAACTTGCTTTTCAGTTATGTCAGTGTACCTGTGTCCCGGGTCCCAGGGTGACGATTCTTTTGATCCATGGCTTAGAGTCGAAAGAACACCAGTGGTCCAGGCTGACTATGCTCCATCGTATTATTTATCTGGTTTTATACTATTTTCCACCTGAGTGCCCAGCCATGGGTCTGTAGGAACCTCGAAGACCAGGTCTCAGTGTTAGGGACCGTGACCAGCTAGGGCTCGCGCCTCATCGCCACCTCGTGCTCAGGACCCTTGGGTGGGCTGGGAATAACCTGCCGTGCCTTCCTCCTCTTCATTCCAGTGAACCCTGCGTATGTGGGCGAAGGTGGCCCTGTCTGTGCCTATGGAAACCCACCGCTGTCTGCAGGTGATTGGCACAAGTCACCTGAAGGTAAGAGTTAATGGAGCAGGAACGGACATCAGCCCTGGGGAAGGAGACGGCTCAAGGCAACTTGGAGATCCAGCAATGGCCGTTCCTGGGCTGGAGGAGTGGGGCAACGCGTGCTGAGTTGGCATCGTGCATTTCCCTCTCTCTCTCTCCCTCTCTGTACTGGGTTCTGGTTGAAGCCAGGGCTTTGCACATGCTAAGCGTGTGCCCCACCCCTGAGCAACACCCCCAGCCCTTGGTGGTGTCTTTAGACATGTGGCTTTAGCTCTTGTGGGTATCCAGGTGTCTTCATTAGGAATCTTCTGGTTGCAAGCGACAGAAACCCAATTCCAAAGGGAGGTAGCCCAGAGGGAACTTATTGGCTCATGTGGTGGGAAGGGCGTGGAGCCACTTAAAAAACCTCCCGCAGTGCCTAACAGGTAAAGGGACTTTAGAGCTGTCTGCTGGGTTAATTTTTGAGGGAGACCAGGGCTTCCGAATCTGAACGCAGTGCTCAGTGCCACCTGATTCGCTCATTGCCCGCCCAGTGTTTGCCTCTGCTTGACCCAGCTTCTCTATAAGCTTCAGCGTCAGGCCATGGGCCACACAGACCCCCCTCGGCCCAGCTACCTCAGTAGAAGGCCCTTCCTTCTCCCCGTCTGTTCATCCATGTGGACAAAGACTCTAACCAGCCTATTAGGAGCACAGACACCCAGACGTCATAGTGTCTCCATGTGTCATAGGAGACGAGACTGGGTCACCTGTCTGTCCTGTGGCTATTGTCTGTGTTGGTGGGGACAAGGTGCTCTGATCAAAAAAAAAAAAAAAATTCTGTTTTTCTGAATGATCATCCATTAATGTGACGGTTGAGTTGGAATCAGGCTAGTGACAGATGGGAGTCTTTGAAGTCCGTTAGGAAAGCTGAGGATCGCTGTGTGGGGTCCCAAAGATCTGATTGGAGGCAAAGACCAAGTAACCGTGCCTCAGAGGAGAAGGAAACAGGAATACTGGCACCAAAATGTTAAGCCTGTGAATTAGAAGGAATAAATTAATGGGATCTTTCCATAATAATGCAAATTGAGAGACTCCATGACTTAAAACTGTCTCTCCACTTTCAGCCCCATAGGCGATGGATAATCCTGAACTTCATCCTTCCAGAACCTTCTCAAGGGGGCATGTATCTTTCACAGTGGTTAGGTGTTGCTGCCTGGGAGGGAAACCCACGCGGATATAAATGACAACCGCACTCTAGACTCACTGGAGCGTAGAATGGCTTTAACCATCGGTGAGAAGGGGGCCTTTGGCCTCCTGAAGACTGCTCTGTGGGGCCAGCATGAGGTTCAGGGTCTCCGGTAGAAGGACACTTAAAAGGCACAGGGAGCCAGGCATGGAGGCTCATGCATGTAATCCCAGTGGCTCAGGAGGCTGAGGCAGGAGGATTGTAAGTTCGAGGCCAGTCTCAGCAACTTAGAGAGGCTGTAAGCAACTTAGAGAGACCCTGTCTCAAAATAAAACATAGAAAGGGCCGGGGATGTGGCTCAGAGGTTAAGCACCCCTGGGTTCAGTCCCGGAACCAAAAAACAAAAAGTAAATAAAGAAATAGAAGATGTGGCTTTCTTTGACCCTTGCATTGCTTCTGATTTTCAAACCTTGTGCAATTAATTGGTGGACAGCTTCATGACAGAGTGTCACTGTGATGGATTATGCTGTGCCCCCAGAAGCCCCTGGCATGCAGTAGGCACTCATAGATACTTATTCATTTATTAAAGAATGAATGTCGCAGTGGCATCTTGTAACAGGATGGGGCCAAGGGGAAGTGATCAAGAGCCCCTGCTTTGGGTTCAGACCCACCTAGGTATGACTCTTTGATGGCTTGTGAGCCTAGGTAAATTAACCCCGTTGAGCCTCTATTTTCTTTTTCTTCTGGGGGTGAGGATGGGACCAGGGGTTGAACTCAGGGGCACTCGACCACTGAGCCCCATCCCCAGCCCTATTTTGCATTTTATTTAGAGACAGGGTCTCACTGAGTTGCTTAGCGCCTTGCTTTGGCTGAGGCTGGCTTTGATCCTCCTGACTCAGCCTCCCAAGGTGCTGGGATGACAGGTATGCACCACCGCACCTGGTGAGTCTCTGTTTTCTCAGCTCTAAGAGGGGGTTGACGATAGTACCAACTTCACAGGGTGATTGGGAAAATGTGATGATACACTCTATTTGAAGTACTTGACCTGCAGAATCAGCAGGAATCATTACTGTCAATCATCCTCACTAGTGGGAGTTCCTGAGTTCTAGTCCAATCCTCCCATTTAAAGAATGTGACGGGAGGGGGTCTCAGTTCCTCTCTCTGCACCACCCTTCCTCCAACTATCCCATCAACAAGCTGACCTAGGTGATGTCTAAATCTGTTGGGTGGGAAGTGTGTTCAGGTGTCTGGCATTAAAATGGAACAATGGATTTAGCAATAAAGGGATTGATTTTTTTCTCCTGTAACAAGAAGAGTAGAGGGAGAAAGTCCAAAGTATTTTTTTCCCGTGATGTCTTCGAGGACTGAAACTCCCCTGTAGCTTTCTCCACCGTCTTTAGCAGGTGAATATTTAACCTCTTGTTAAATAACTCAGATGATGCCCCCAGGTACAAGAGGGGCATGGTAAAGGGCAGAAGCGAAGCCAGGTACACTATCCCCTTTAAAGAGCATTCCTGAGGTCACATGCCTGAAAGTGGGTCACTTGTCCACTCTTAGCTGCAAAGGGAGCTGGGAGAATCCCACGTCCACTCAGGAAATGTAATTCCTGCTCATAGGAGAAAAAAGAATGGATACCGAGAAGCAGACAGACAGCTGTGTCCCTCATCAGAGGCAGTCAGGAGAGAATCATTGGAACAGTATCAACATATCTGGTTTTTATATAAATGTATAAAACTATAAGTTCTAGACCAAACAATTAAACTAAAAAAGAAAAAACAAGTTGCCTTTTTTTTTGGAACTGGGGATTGAACTCAGGGGCACTTAAACCACTGAGTCACATCCCCAGCCCATTTTGATATTTTATTTAGAGGCTTTGCTAAGTTGCTGAGGCTGGCCTTGAAATGAGCGATCCTCCTGCCTCAGCCTCCTGAGCCGCTGTGATTACAGGTGTGTCCCACCACCGCTGGCTGTGAAAGTCGCCCTTTGATTATGAGATATCAAAAAGAATGTCTGTCCTCTGTTTCTAGAATCCCATTGTCTCCAATGAAGGATTCTGTTTCTAATTTCTTACCTAGCTACCAAGATAGAATTCTCTGCAGGAGAACACAACTCCTTCTGAGGAGACCCCCCTCAGGGGCCAGATGTGGGGAGTTCTCTTGTGACTTGTTGGGGGGTGGGGGGGCTGGCTTCAGCGGTCTGGTCTTGGCTTTGGAAAAGTGTGAATGGAGCATCCCTTTGTGATGGCGGCCACTCTCCCCCGGCTGGGTCTGGGCCATGCTGGTGTGACTGCTGCGTGAGGTCTCTGAAGACCGCACCCGGGTTGCAGGACCCAGCCAGCAGGAAGCAAGAGATGCTGTCGGATGACTGGGTAAACGAAATCGTCGTAGAGGTAGAGAATGTGCCATCTGGGGCCGAAAGCCGTCCGTCCTCCAATCAGATTTTTCCAGAAAGGACACGGGTGAAGCCCGGCTTCGGCAGGGTGTCACCGCTCCCCGACATCGAGAGGGTGGACTCTCAGGTGTTCAGACGTGGCAGTGACACGAAGCACCACCAGTTATTACAGTTGTCAACTGCTTTGAAGGAATCAATGTCTCAGACCCATCACAGCCCAGAATGCCCGGGCATAGACACTCCTTGCGCTTCCCATGAAACCGCTCAAGGTATCATCTGCTGGGAAATTGCTGAGCAGGTAGCAGGGAAGCCTCCCAATCTCCTTTCTTCCTTTCTTTTCTCTTTTTTTCTTTTTCTTTTCTTTCTTTCTTTTTTTTTTTTTTTTTTTTTTGGTACCAGGGATTGAACCCAGAGCATTGAACCACTGAGCCACATCCCTAACCCTTTTAACTTTTTTGACACAGGGTCTCGCTAAGTTGCTGAGGCTGGCTTTGAACTTGCGATCCTCCTGCCTCAGCCTCCCAAGTCACTGGGATTTTGGGCATGTGCTGCTATCACACCTGGCCCAATTTACTTTTTTTTTTTTGGTACTGGGAATAGAACCCAGGGGCGCCTAACCACTGAGCCACATCCCCAGCCCTTTAAAAAAATTTTGTTTTTATTTAGACACAGGGGTCTTGCTAAGTTGCTGAGGCTGGCCTCAAACTGGCAATCCTCCTGCCTTTCAGCCTCCCAAGCTGCTGGGTTTATAGGCACGTGCTGCCACGACTTCCCAATTCATTTTTAAGACATCAAACAATGTGCAAGGCTCAGAAGGTGAACTAAGGATGCGGGGAACCAAGACAGGGCTCACTTGGAGACCTCTCTACTATCAGGTGCCCAGGGACACCTACTTTGGGTTAGCTGTCAAGTTCAGTTTTATTTATTCCCCAGCCTCCCACCTTTGAGGCAGGCTTTTCCATGTGCTCCATGAGAAGACTGAGACTCCCAACGTTCCGTGACCTGGCACAGGTGGGCTACGTGCAGATTTTCCCGGTTGCCCAGCGTGAGTTTTTAATCCTCCCGCCGTCCTGCTTTGGCCTGTTCCTCCCGCCATGGTTCAGGGAACGTGGACAAGGTGCCTCTTACCGCCAAGTTCAGGGTGAAACTCCGTCTTCGCGGAGAACTCAGCTTCTCTGCTCCTGAGGCCCGTGGGGATGCTGTTTCTTCTTCACCCCATACGGCTCCAGGTGTGGAGTCTAGCAGCTCTCAGCAGATTTCTGGGGGGAGAAGAAAAAAATCCAATGACATCAAAGCATTTGGTGGATTTGGCCCCTTTTCTGAAGACGGGGGCATCTCCACCGTCTCCCTGCATCTCTGTATTTCCCCTTTGCTCCAATCTTCTCTCTTCCTGTCTGCTTGTCCTTCCTGACACAAATTTCAGAGTGATTCAGTGACCCTCTGGGGGATTTCCCCTGCACCCCAACTATGTCATTGAAGTAAACGAGGTATGTCCTCACGAGGAATTCCGGCTCAGTGATGTGACCAAGAAGCCAGTCTGCCTGCTCCCCGACCCGCTCAGTCATCTCCAGCGCATCAGGGCCCCAGCAATGGTACCAGACAGTGACAGCAGGTGTCCCGTGCGGACAAGACTATCCATAGTGGGAAGGAACCATCTGTCTTTTTTTTTTTTTCTGGTAGGGGGATAAACCCAGCATCTCCCATAGCTGTACCACTGAGCTACGCCTCCAGCCCTGTTTGGGGCTTCTTTGAATAGAAGGGAGAAACACCTTTTCCAGAAACTTCTTAACTGCCTACCTCTTGGAGAACACTGGCCAACAATATGCCCCAAGCTTGTGACGGATCCAGTTACCTGCAAGGGGGACAGGCCCTTTGGGATTGGCTGAGGATAACGGGGACCTGCCCACTAGCTTGGAGGTGGGCCTGTCCTGAGGGAGCTCGGGGACTTGCCCAGGGGGTGGGGTAACAGTCGGGATTCTGTTCACATATCGGGGATGACTTTGGGAGTAGGTGACCAGCCCTGTCCACCACGTTGATGGGAAATGGAAACATGAGCTAGTGGAGAGGAGGAGGGGTTGGACGGGCCGATGAACATAGTCAGGGGATGAGAAGAAGTCACTTGGGCCTGGAGCCCACGGGCCCAAGGAGGTCATGTGGATGTTTAAGGGAGAGAGATGGGCAGGCGGAGGGAGTGGCGGGATCCCGGTGGCTTCCCTGAATATTGTCTTTTTGTGACAGGAGAGAAGGGTTGAGTTGAGAGGCAGCCCCACATCGTCGATTCCTTTGGCTCTGAGTCTGAACAGACTTATTGGTCTTCTTGCGGTTCTCGATCGTGGACTTGGGGATCCTCGGGTCCCTGTTTTTCTCTTTCCTTGTGCTCTTTATAAGAACGTGATCTAACATCAGCAGCAGGTTTTAAAATGTTTACAACCCTGTGAAAGAAAAGAAAGAAAGAAAGAAAGAAAGAAACGAATCTCCGTGTGTCTCCTTTGGCAGGACAAAAGTTAATAGCATCCCTGATCCCCATGACATCCAGGGACAGAATCAAGGCCATCAGGAACCAGCCCAGGACCATGGAAGAGAAGAGAAAGCTGAGGTAAGGACCGGAGGGCTGTCCATCTGAACCCGATTTCATGCGAACCTCAGAGGAGAGATCAATAAATGCAGGAGGAGAGACAAATATTCCTTGTGGAACATTCCAGATAATCCAAGGAGGCCCGCCTCTCCCCAGGGGCTGGAGACTCACCCACTCCCTGGACTGGGGTGTGGGCGCGGGAAGGAGGCCTGGAGAGAAGGAAGTGCCTTCCAGGAGGGCCTGGCTGGGGGTCCCTGCACCAGCTACATTCTTTCCTTCTCCACGGAGGCGGGGCACAGGGAGGCCTGCTGTGCCCCCGCTGTACCGCCCCCTCCCAGCAGCTGGCCCTACAGGCAGCCCCCCACCCAGCGGCAGCCCCTCCTGAAGGTGAGTTACAGTGGGCCTCTCGTTGTCTCCTCCCATTCCCCACAGAAAAGTGGTTGACAAAGAGAAGAGCAAACAGGGTCCCCGTGCCCTGGAAGTGGCCTGCTGCACCCGGTGTCTGCACACCTTCTCTCTGGTGAGTCTTTTTTGGAATTGAATCTTTTTTTCTTTTTCTTCTTTCTTTCTTTTTTTTTTTTTTTTTGATACCAGGGATTAAACTCAGAGGCACTCAGCCACTGAGCCCCATCCCCAGCCTTATTTTGTGTTTTATTTAGAGACAGGGTCTCACTGAGCTGCTTAGCGCCTCCCTGAGTTGCTGAGGCTGGCTTTGAACTCGCGATCCTCCTGCCTCAGCCTCCCGAGCCGCTGGGATGACAGGCGTGTGCCACTGCGCTCAGCTTAGAATTGAATCTTATGTTCTGATCAGCATGGAAAGACATACTGTGTGCATAGGGACATTTCCCTCCCACTTTGCTTTTCTTCTCTTCCTTCCTTCCTTTTATTTCTCCTCCTCCCCCTCCCCCTCCCCTCCCCTCCCCCTCCTCCCCCTCCTCCTCCTCCTCCAGGGCCAGCTGCCCACTCAGCCCACACCCTGCCACTGAACTCTGCCCCTCGCCCCTCCTCATCATTCCTTTCTCCTCGGTGCCTTTGAGCTCCTGTCTCCTCGACCAGCATGACCCACCCAATAGGCCATTGTCAGCTGCAGTCACCCCCTGGGCTGGGGACACCACAGCTCACTCTGTCTCCCTGTTATCTGACCTTTCCTTGTTCTTCCTCCCCCAAAGCCTCCCAGCTCCTAGCAATCACTCCTCTACGTTCAGAAAGAGTCATTCTCGCCCACATCCTGCGCACACGGTGGAATTGGGGTTCCCCTGTGCAAGGCAGGCCGGCCGCGAGCTAATCAAGAGAAAAGGGCGGAAAACCCCACAGTCCACGGGAAGTAATTTTTTCCAGTGAGGGCAGGAAGGCTCTTGGATCTTAAGGATGGAGCTTCCACGTGGAAAGAGGGAGCAGTGGAGCCCACGCTTGCTTTATTTATATGGGGGACATCAAAGGTTTTCCATGGAATGTTCTTTGCCAAATAAGGTAGGGGGTGGGCTGTCCAGTTCCCCTGGGTCACGCCCAACTCCAGAGCACGAGAGCTGACCCACTAATGGGGGTGGGCAGAGATCTCACGCCCTGAATCTGCACACGGGAATGCCACGATGGTCCCTGGGGGGAGACCTAAGTCCCCCATGGCTCGGTACGGAGTAAAAGACCACTCAAGTAGCTTTATAGCAGAACCTCAGAGATGAATGAGGCTTAAAGGAGATGAACTTTGTCAACATGCAGAGCATGGTGTGGGGCCCTGTGGAAGGCTCTGGGGTCGGTGGCTGGTTGTGCCAGGAGGGACCCTACTCGGGAGATACCTGAGTGAACCCCAACCCCCCTGCCTGGCACCCTTAACTCCAGGTCTACCGGAGATCCAAGAACAGCATCTCTGAGCTCCTCAACACCACCAGCCTGTGGCAGAAGACGCTCAAGGTCATCGGAGGCAAGTTTGGAACCAGCGTCCTCTCCTATTTCAGCTTTCTGAGGTGGCTTTTGAAGTTCAACATTTTCTCCTTCATCGTGAACTTCAGCTTCTTGGTTATTCCCCAGCTGACAGTGGCCCAGAAGAACACACTCCAGTTCACGGGGCTGGAGTTTTTTACGGGGGCGGTAAGTCCTGCGTTTCCTGGACCCCAAGTTCATGCCCGGCAAGCCCAGGCACACACCTGTAGTCCCAGCAATTTGGGAGGCTGAGGCAGGAGGATTGCAAGTTCAAGGCCAGCCTCAGCAACCGTGACGCCCTACGCAACTTAGCAAGACCCTGTTTCAAAATAAAAAAGGCTGGAGATGGGGGGGCTCAGTGGTTAAGCACCCCTGGGTTCAATCCCAGGTACCAAAAACAAAACCCCTAAAAAGTATTTTCCTTTAATGCTAAAATAGAATTATTGTGTTAATTGATCCTTCATGTTTTCGTTACCATGTACATTTTGTGTATAAGAAGAATTCATTATTAGGAGACATTTCAAAGTATACAGAAGAGTAAAGAGAGGTACGGTAAACACTCCTCTACGTGCTACGTAGATTTAGATTTGCCATATTTGCTTTCTCTTATTGTTTGGGGAAGCATCTTAAAGTAAATTACAGACATCAGGATATTTCACTCTGAAGTTCCTCAGCGTGCATCTCTGAAAAATAAGGGCACAGGGCCGTCGTAATCCCATCATCACATTCAACAGAATTAAAGATGAACGTTATCTAAAAATCAAACCATATTCACATTTTTCCAGTTTTCCCCCAAATTGAGGGAAATTTCAGAGCGTGCTCTGACCACGATCCAAAGATCACACTGGATATCTACCCCCCCCCCCCCGTTTAAATCTGTATGAATCTAGAACAGTCTCCCAACCCCAGGGAGCCTTTTCTGGACATTGTCTTTATTATAGAAACTATGCCCGTTGTTCTGTAGGCTCTGAAATCCTACCTTCCAAGATTATTTGATTATTTCCTTCCAACCGGTTTCTCATTTTCTGTAAACTGCAGCGTAGACCTAAAGGCTTAAATCGTTTTCTATTAAATACGTGTGGCCCTCGTATTCAGCAGCTGGCAGAGGTCCACAAGGCCGGTCTGTCCTGCTGCCCGTCTGTCTGTGAAACCAGCACCTTCCTTGTGAGGTTCTGTTGGTTTGGAGACTCTTTTTCACTCTGGGAGCCTAGTGAATAAATCTCCCTCTAGGTTCTCCGTGGACGTGGGAGCCCTTTTTCTGGCAAAACAGTCGATCTTCCAAATCCCCGGGTTCCGAATCCTCAGATTTGATCAACTGCAGGTTGAAAGCATTTAAAAAAAAAAATTGCATTTGTTTGGAACACGTATACACTGTTTTCTCCTCTACTCCCTAAATCGTATACTGTAACAACTATTTACATAGCATAGACATTGTATCCAGTATGATGGGTGAGATCATTTAAAGCAGACGGGAAGATAGGGGCAGGTTATGTGCAAATACAGTGGCCATTTAATATACGAGACTTGAGCAGCTGCAGATTTGGGTGTCCTTAAGGGTTCTGGAAGCCGGGCGCAGTGGCGCACGCCTGTCAACCCAGCAGCTCAGGAGGCTGAGGCAGGAGGATCTTGAGTTCAAAGCCAGCCTCAGTGACTTAGAGAGGCCCTAAGCAACTCAGTGAGACCCTGTCTCTAAATTAATTTTTTTTTTTAAAGGGGTGGGGATGTGGCTCAGTGGTTAAGCACCTCTGGATTCAATTTTAGTACAAAGAAAAGAGAGAGAGAGAGAGAGAGAGAGGAAGAGTTCTGGAAAGGATTCCCCTTTGATACCAATGTCTAAATTGATTGGCCCAAATTTCCTGCAGATGAAGAGGTCAGGTCTGAGGACCATCGTCGTTGACCTCTGTCTCAAGATGCACCTGACCTGGATCTCTTCCTTGTCCCCGTCAGGGTTACTTCAGGGACACGGTGATGTACTACGGCTTCTACACCAATTCCACCATCCGGCACGGGAGCAGCAGGCTGGCCTACAACATGCAGCTGGCGTACCTCTTCACCATGGGGGCCTGCTTGGTCACCTGCTTCTTCAGCTTGCTCTTCAGGTACGGAGACGTCCGCCTTTCCTAATGAGGCTGCCTGGAGATTCAGGCAAAATCCAAGACACTCCAAAACATTACCCCGGAGCCAGTTTCTCCACGATGTTGGATCTCTTGGTCCTGGGATGTAAAATAGGAGCTGGGCAGAGTTAGTTGTGTGCCTTTAAGGAAAAATAAAGATGGGGTGACCCAGATGACTCGGACATGAGGACACAGTGGACAGAGACGAGGTACATGTGGGAGACCACACAGGAAAAGGTTCCAGCCGTGGGCACTGGCTGGTGGCCGGAGCAGGGCACCACAGACTGGGAGGCTTGAGAAGCAGCAGGAGTTTATTTTCTTACAGTTTCTGGAAGGTAGAAGTCCAAGATCAAGGGATCAGGGGGATGGGTTTCTTCTAAGGTTATTTTCTTGGCTTGATATAGTTTGGAGCTTCCGTGTCCTTCACAGACCTGGGTATTAAAGGCTTGATCCCACCTTGATGTGATTGGCAGGTGGTGGAGACTTTAAGAGGTGGGGCCCGCTGGGAGGGTTCAGGTGGGTCCCTTAAAGGGGATCCTGGGACCCTCGCATCTCTGTCTCTTTTTCACTTCCTGGTCACAAACTGGGAAGTTCTGCTCTGCTCTGCCCTCCTGCACAACCATAATGTGCAAAGCAACGGGGCCAACTCATCATGGACCGAAGCTCCCAAAAGTGTGAGCTAAAACAAACCTTTTTTCTTTGTAAGTTTTTTTTTTTTTTTTTTAATTTCAGGCTTGTGTTATAGTGATGGAAAGCTGACTAATACAGCTGTCTTCTCCCTGAGTGTTCAGTGGTCTTCCCTCTGTGTTTCTGCGTCCCCATCTTCATTTTTATTTTAATTTTCTTTGCAGTGCTGGGGATTGGAAGCAATTCAGCTCCTAATGACCTTAATACCAGCATGATAATTCTAACTAAAGTGCCATTTCATTCTGTTCTATTAAAGCAGAAAATGTTTCTGCAGTAGTTGTTACTAAGGGGTGCAGATTCAGCGCCTGTTACTCTCCAGGCAGGGTGCTGAGGACATCCTGGGTCTGGGACATCCCCACCATCTCAATGGCGCCCTGTAGTGCCTGCTGTTCCAAACCCTCTAGCGACTTGTGGTTGGCTACTAATCTCCAACCCAAAGGGAATGTGTTTAAGTCAAAGATCTTGAGATGGGCAGATTATCCTGGGTTATCCAGCTGGCCCCGTGGACCCACAGGTTTTTGTGTGGTGCTGGGGATTGAACCCTGGGCCTTGTGCATGCGAGGCAAGCCCTCTACCAACTGAGCTATATCCTCAGCCCCTCAGGGTCCTTTTAAGAGGGAGACCAGAGGTCAGAGAGGGAAAGAGAGAGATGCTACTCCTCTTGCTTTGAGGAGGGACCTACAACCAGAGAATGCAGATAGCCCCCCAAACCTGGAAAAGGCAAAGAAACAGGTTCTCCCCCAGATCCTCCTCCCAGGACTAGGGCCCTGCCAAAGTCTTGCTTTGTAGGACCGATTTTCTGACTTCTGACCTCCAGAAATGTTAAGGTCATAAACCCACGTCATCTTAAGCTGTCTCGTTGGCAGTGATTTGTTATAGCAGCTGCAGGAAACGCATACCTCTCTCACCAGATCTCTGAGGTGGGCCCTGTCATTATCCCCATTTCGAGGTGTGAAAACTGACACTCGGAACAGTTCAAAGGACAAAGATTCCCCAGTGGGCGAGTTCAGATGGTGAGGCAGGCCTCACTTTGTGTCTGTTGTCCCAGCGCTCCAGGCCACTCTTCCAATGTCACCTTTCACCGCTGATGATGGCGGGGTGTCCTTGGTCCCAGCCCTGCGCCCCCCGATGCCTGGTGGAGTGACCTGTGGGTGCTTTGGTTTCTGCTTTCTCCAGCATGGCCAAGTATTTCCGGAACAACTTCATCAACCCCCACATTTACTCCAGAGGGATCGCCAAACTTATCTTCTGCTGGGACTTTACTGTCACGCACGAAAAAGCCGTGAAGCTGAAACAGAAGAGTCTGGGCACGGAGATAAGGGTGAGGCGTCTTTCCACAGGCGGTGTCCCCCCACCTCCTCCTCCACAATGTCTGCTTTAGATCAAGCAATAATCAATGACTTTTTTTTAATTGCTCATGAGATTTGTTAAAAAAAAAAAAAAAAAGAATAGAAACACAAAATAGCCATAACACCTGGTTCTGGTGGTGATGTGGGGAGATGGACATTTCTGCATGACTCGGGGGCCTTCTCCTTGGTACAGCCCTCCTGGAGGCCACCTAGCCCTTTATGTTAAAGTGTTTGAAGGCATGGACTCCTGACCCTACAGCTCCAGGTTTAAAACTTTACCCCTGAGCAGTAGTTTTCAATCTAGAACATCTTCTCCCCTCAGAGGGACGTTTGGCAATGTCTGGAGACTTTTTTGGTGGCTACAATTGGGGACAGGCTACTGCTGGCATCCAGGGGGTAGAGACCAGGGAAGCTATTAAGCACTCTGTAGTGCAGAGGATGCCCCCCCCCCGAATTATCTGGCCCCAAATATTAATAGTGTGGAGATGGAGCAACCCTGGTGTAAAGAAATAAACTTATTAAAAAGAAATAGCAAAGCTGGGTGTGGTGGCCCACGCCTGTCATCCCTGCAGCTTGGGAGGCTGAGGCAGGAGGATCGTGAGCTTAAAGCCAGCCTCAGCAAAAGCGAGGCACTAAGCAACTCAGTGAGACCCTGTCTCTAAATAAAATACAAAGTAGGGCTGGGGACGTGGCTCAGTGGTCGAGTGCCCCTGAGTTGAATCCCCAGTACCCCCCACCTCCCCAAAATAAAAACATACAAAAAAGAATTAACAAGCAGAATTCATCAGCAGGGGCTTTGACAAGAGGGTTGCAGGTGTTGACTTCTTGCTCTGTGCGTGCACCCAGCCTCGTTCGAGGAACACCTCTGTGACCTTCATGTGTTTCCCTCAAGGTCAAAGTCACCATCTGTTGCTTCCACCGGTTCCTCTAAGATGGAAACGGAGTTGGATGTGGGGATGGGGGGTTCTTGGCTGTTTTGAGCTTCTCCCTGGGGATCCCACAATCCCACAATCCAGGTCCATCCCTGAGGATCTGGGCTGGGTGTGTCTCTTGGGGGGGGCCAGCGTGTCCCCATCCCCCCCCCCACACACACCAGCTGACAGCGGGAGGGACCTGGGGCTCAGCTGGCTTCCTGTGTTCCCAGGAGAACCTGTCAGAGATCCGACTGGAGAAAACCAAGCTCACCTTCCACCAGCAGCTCACGCGCCTGTCTGCCCACGTGGCGGCCTGGCTGGTGTCCACTGGCATGGCCATCGCCTGCTGTGTCGCCGTCTATTACCTGGCCGAGTACAACTCCGAGGTAACCCGATGGGCGGGAAGGCCAGGGGCCCGGGCAGAGGAAGGGGTGGGAGGCTGGGGGGGACCTGAGGTCAGCGTCAGGAAACCAGGGTACAGTCGCACAGTCCCCCGGCTCCGGCTCCCTGGCTCCCGGCCTCAGCTCTGCGCCCCAGCAGGGAGCAAAGGGTCCGGGCTGCTGCAGAGCTGGGGGCTCTGGCTGTGCACCCAGGATCCAGTGCTCATTTCTTCCTTCATTATCACCTCCCCGTGCCTGGCACCCTCAGTGATAACGGGATGCTATGACTTAGGCTCTGACCCTGGTCTCCTGGGTGGCCGTGGGGAAGGACGGGTTTTCTGTAGGTGCAGCTTTGTTCTTTGGGTAACGGGCTCCTTCTGTCCGGGTGCAGATCTCCACCATTGGGCGCACTTTGCTCTGGTTACGTAACTTTCTTTAACGGCTTCCCATGGTTCTCGATATGAAATCTAGGGCCGGGGATGGCTCGGTGGTAGAGCACTTGCAAAGCTTGCCTGAGACCCGGGGTTTGATCTGCAGCTCTTCAAAAAAAGGAAGGAAGGAAAGGGAGGGAGAGGTAAAGGGAAGAAAATACAAACCGATTCTCGGGGCAGGATTCGTAGATCTTTTATGACCTGACTTTTGCCTGTGCCCCACCACCCCCGTATCTAGTGCCAACCATGCGTAACGGTGCGTTCACAGATCCTTGAGTGTATTATGCTTCCTGTCACCTGGCAAACTTCCCCCCACCCCGACCTTAGCATGATTGTCACCTCATCCGGGAAGCCTGCCCTCACCACCACCTGTACCCCCACTAGGCTGAGGAGAGCACCCCTGACTCTGCAGCCTTCCCCTCTGAACCTGAGAAGTGCAGCTTTGAGGCCCCCTGCTTGTGTGTCTGTTTCTCCCAGCACCTGGCCCAAGACCTAGGACATAATAGGTTCTCAACTAAATGGAGGAAACTGCAAAAGAGGCCAGAATAAAAAATGTGGGGTTGTGTCCATGCCCTGTTAAGGTCTGCTGTGAAGAGGGGAGGTTGGGTCACAGTCCTGGGGCCCTGGCAATGCCCACCTAGGGTGCAAGCTGTGACCAGGCAGGTGTCGGTGGGAAGACTTCTGACTGTTTGGTCCTGAACAAAGGGGAGCAGCTTGGGGGAGAGAAGGCAGGAGTGAGGGAGTCCCAGGGCTTCAGCATCTGAAGTGGTGGCCGCCAATCATCGGTCACTCCAGTTCCTGGGAGTGTCCCCAGCTGTGTCCCAGGGCCCAGGCTTGGCCCTATTGGATGTCATTGAATCCTTGCAACATCTCTGAGGTTATGTGAAACCTCGCGGCTGTACAATCGGGGAGGAGAGGCTCAGAGGTGCCGAGCGTCGGCTCCACCGGGGCAGCTGTTAGTGGGGGAGGCGGGCAGCGTTGGGACCCCGGGAGCCCGGGGCTCCAGAGACACTCCAGAAATGCACGGGGCACCTGCGAACGGTCCCCAGCAGATGCAGGCTCAGACCTGAGGATGCTCAGAAGGGGATGCAAGGCGTCCCATGGATCCACAGGACTCTCTTATCCCAAGTCATGCAGAGAGGACAGCTGGCCAAGGGGCGGCCCAGGCTGCGCCCTGAGCCGATGCCAGGGTGCGGGGTTCCCTTGAGGAAGGCCCTCTCTCCCGCTCACACAAGGGGGCAGCGTGGGCCTCCAGAAGCACCCCCTCCTCCTAGGCCAGTTCTCAAGAGCAGGTGATTCCTAGGGAAATGCACAAGATCACACAGAGAGGAAAAGAGAATTTCCGCTGTGAGTGGTCCCCTCTTGCTGTGGTACCTGCACACGCGGGCTTTTGTCCCAACTGCGAGAGGCACATCCTCCATGTCCTGGGCGTCTTGACAAGAAGGCAGAATCCCATAATGGCTCTTGGAGCTTAGCCCCTGGGGCAGAAATGTCTGGGTTCGGGTCTTCCCTTTTCTTGCTGGTTGACCCTGGGCAAGTGTCTTTACCTCTCTGAGCTTCAGTATGCTTGGCACAGGGTAAGTACTAAACAATGGTAGCTTCATAGCTGAGCCCAGAGGAGCCCCTTTTGGGGTTTCCCCACCATGCCCGTCTTCCAGGTGAGGCAGAGAGGGTCCAGCGCACAGTGGGCATCTTGGCTATCTCCTTACAGTTCCTGAAGACGCACCAGAACCCCGGAGCCGTGCTGTTACTACCCTTCCTTGTGTCCTGCATCAACCTAGCTGTGCCTCGCTTATACTCCATGCTCAGGCTGGTGGAGAGGTACGAGCTGCCCCGGCACGAGGTCTACATCCTCCTGATCCGGTAGGTGTGTCCGTCGCACCCAACGCCTGTGTCATTTCCAGGGAGCTGGAGGGGTTCGGCTCAAGTATCACAGTTGGGTCCTCCAGAAGGGAGGGATTTCAAGAGTGAAGTGTGTTTCTGTGGTGTGGGTTAAACAAACAAACAAACAAAAACTGGAAAAATAAAGCTCAAAGTAACAGCTTACCTTTTCCAAAGGTTATAAGCCTGAGAATTAACATACATCTCAAGTATGACCTGTACAGATGGGCAGGCAGTGCACTGCACAAAGGTTTCAGACTGAGGAATTGTGTAGGGACTGGAATCATCCAGGGTCAGACTGTGAGTCCTGGTACTTACTGCATCAGCAGGGATGAGGATGTACATTTTTTATAATTCAGCCACCCAGAGGTGGGAGGGGTGATACATTTTGGTGATTCCAACTCAGGCACCCTATGTGCTAGAGGTGGCCCCAGTGTTTTGATAAACAAAGGCTTGTACTGTCCAAATCCTGCCCTGACACCTTCTTCCTGGCTGGTTCCCTGAATCGCTCCTGGTTATGGCAATAGGTGTGCACAAAGCAGTTCAAGTTTCTTTATGGATCACTTCCAGAGCACGTTCCTTACTGTGGCCTCTGAGGTCTGGCTCCTGACCAGCTCTTCAGCCTCATTTCCTACCTCTCTCCTTCTTGATCACCATCTCCTCCCCGCCGGACTCCTGGGTATTCACAAACACGCCAAACTCTGTGCCCACCCCTGGGCCTTTGCACGGGATGTCCTCTCTGTCCAGAACACTCTACCCACACATAGCTGCGTGGTCTGCTTCCTGACTCTGTTTGGACTTCTGCTCAAATGTCACCCTCTCAGAGATTTTCCCTGATGCCCCATTAAGTGGGTATAGAGGGGGACATATAGGGTTCACCGTCACCTCATAATCTTGCATATTAAGCGAGATGGGCATAAAATATAATTTTACCTGATGATGGAATTGTAAACATGGAGGGGGTGGTGCCTGTCACAGGACCTTTAGTTAGCACCCAGTGAGCCATGGGTGGACTTACTATTGCCAGAGGTGAAATCGGATAGTTTGGAGGTGTGACAAATGAGAGTGTATCAATCAGAATACATTCGTTTATGCCCCAGTGACAAGAACAACAAAACCCCAGATTTCAGTAGCTTGGAACACAAAGGCTTATTCTTGCCCAGGCTACATGTGCTCTGCGTGTGGCAGGGCGGCTGGTTCTGCTCCTGTCAATCACTGAGGGCCACCTGCTGAGAGGGCCGCCATCTTGAACATCGCTGATTGCCATTCCAAAGGGGAGACGTGGCTTCCGGGGATCTCAAAGGCAGCTATTGCTGTAGCCCAGAAGTGACACATAATGGTTCGGCTCACAATATACTCCCGGGAACTAGCCACATGGTCTCACCCATGCACAGGAGGGCAGGGATGTCCATCCTACCAGGTGCCCCAAAGGAGGTGTTGGCAAACAGCACAGGAGTCTGCCATGGAGGGAAATGATAGTTGTTTTCTCTTCTGATATTTAGAAACATCTTTCTAAAAATATCCATCATTGGAATTCTTTGTTACTACTGGCTCAACATCGTGGCCCTGTCCGGTGAAGAGGTGAGATTTCCATGTTCTCCCTTCAGTTGGCTCTCTTGGTCTTTGATCTCAAGGGAGGACATAAGTCTCTCCAGAGCATCATGATCCTAGTTGACATTAATTTCTTCAGCTCTCTGTCATTCTTTGTCCCTGGGCTTCCACATAACATTGCTGTGTCCAGATGCAAACCAACTCACATGAACATGGTGCCCTCATCTTCTCACCCTAACCATCAAAGAAGTTCAAAATCAGCCCTCCAAGTTAGGCTGGTTAGAAGGATACCACATTATACTTCTATTCACCATTGATCCACCCACAGTTCATCCATCCATCCATCCATCCATCCATCTATCCACCCATTCATCTATCGTTTATCCACCCAAATCCATCCATCATCTATCCATCCATCTACCCATGTATCCATCCATTCATTCATCCATGTGTCCATCCATCCATTCATCTATCATTTATCCACCCAAATCCATTCATCCATTCATCCATGCATGCATCCATCTATCCATCTATCCATTCACCCATGTGTCCATCCATCCATCCATCCATGTGTCCATCCATCCATCCATCCATCCATCATGTGTCCATCCATCCATCCATTCATGTATCATTTATCCACCCAAATCCATCCATCCATTCATCTATGTGTCCATCCAGCCTTCCTTCCATCCATCCATCCATCTATCCATTCATCCATATGTCCATCCATCCATCCATCCATCATCAATCCATCTATCTACCTGCGTATCCATTCATTCATTCATCTATGTGTCCGTCCATCCATCCATCCACCCATCCATCCATCTGTCCACGTGCCCATGCATTCATCCATCTGCCCATCCTTGAGCTGGGAACCCAGAACTTCCCTCTCCCACTTCAGCCAAACCTAAAAGCTCCTGGTCTTTCAGCTCCTACCGCTGACTCCCACATAGTTGACTAGTTTCACACACTAACTCAAGTTTCGAGTTTCCAGAGCTGCAGCAACAATTCAGTCAATCACAAGTCACTTTCTTAAGCAGGTGTTCACTGATGTTCTGTAGGTCACCAAGCCCAAGGAAGGGGAGCACTCTTAGCCGTCGATGTCTCCCACCTCCTGAAGAAACGATTATCCCTGACTGAGAAATGGGACCTGGAGGGGATTGGGGGGAGATGAAAGATTTTAAAAGGAGAGATCCTGAGAAGGAGGAGTTTGCTTTATGTGGAAAGCAGGACTTAATGGTGAGGGAGGGACCCAGAGAGAGAGAATGGACACCCCTGGAAACGAACCTGGCTGTGCTGATCGCAGACAGTGGGTCTGCCCTTCTGGGTACACAAGGACTCGGTCCATCTGAGCCACCAGCTGTGTCCCACGGAGCACATGGAGCAGGAATGGAGCAGAGGGGCTGAGCTGGGGCCATGTGCCCGCCCCCACCCCGACCCCTCTGTGTCTTACAGTGTTGGGAGACCCTGATTGGCCAGGAAATCTACCGGCTCCTCCTGATGGACTTCGTGTTCTCTTTAGCGGATTCCTTCCTGGGGGAGTTTCTGAGGAGGTGAGTATTTGCTGGTCATGAATACCTGTGCCTGTACCTGACTCCGTGCCTGAAGCCTGGGTCCTCCTTATGGATTTGGGAAATAGCATTCATTTAACAGCAGTAAACACTAACTAAATTTTTGTGGTTGTTTGGCGGGGACTGTAGCTCAGCGGTAGAGTATTTAGCTTGTGCAAGGCCCTGGGTTCTATCCCCAGAACAACAACAACAACAAAAACCACTTTTAGTTTAGAAGAGTTATTTGAATTGGGGAGTGCTGAGTTTATCTGGTTCATACAAAAGGTTTAATAAGCCAAAATGATATTAAAAAGATAATAGGTAGGATATGTTAACAATTCAGGTAACAAAATTCTCTAGAATTATTTAAAAATCGTTTTAGTAGTACCCCACTTGACTGCACTGTATTAATTCCACTTGCCCCTCAATTATTTTTTCAAACACGTGCTGATACTTGGAACTAAGGACTTCATCCTAATCTGGGGAGGGTCTCTGCATCTGATGGTCCTGGCCCCTGGGGAACCTTGTCAGGCGGGAGTGGGGGTTTGGGGACTGACCTCAGGACACTTTCACAGGATCATTGGGAAGCGGTTCATCACAAGCCTTGGCTTACAGGAATTTGACATTGCCAGGAATGTTCTAGAGCTGATCTATGCACAAACTCTAGTGTGGTAAGTCGGCTTGACCCTGACTGAGGGAGGACTTGGCGTTTCATGGGGGGGGGGGGGGGTCCCAAATTGTCCCTCCCCCCAGATAATTTGTTCATGACAATGAATTTAATTTAGATTTAATTTAGCCAGGACTTTGGTGTTTAGGAGGCCTGTTAGGGAACCCGCTGGCAATTTGGAAGCTTACAAACCCATTATTTCAATATGCAGGTTTCCTTCGTGCAAGGTAAAAGGTAGAGATAACAGTACCTGCCTCACAGGGCTTCAGAGAGGATTAAATGAGAAAATGCACATGCTCAGGGCTTAGTGAGCGCCTCACTCAGAAAGGTTTTATAAGTGGGGATACGATGACCACTGTTATTTATTTATTTGGGTGCCAGGGATAGAACTCAGGGGCACTCGACCACTGAGCCCCGTCCCCAGCTCTATTTTGGATCTTATTTACAGACAGGGTCTCACTGAGTTGCTTAAGGCCTCTCCAGAGGCTGCCTTTGAACTCGCAATCCTCCTGCCTCAGCCTCCCGAGCCTCCGGGATTACAGGCGTGCACCACCTCACCCTGCGACACTGTTATCTTTATGAGCACTCTTTAAAAAAAATTGTAAAAATTCATAGCAAGTATGATCACATGGTTGTGTGACCCATCTTCAGAACCTTCTCATCTGGCAAAACTGGAACAACTCTGTACCCAGTATCCGCCACTCCTTTCCTGCGCCTCCTAGCCCCTGGCAACCCCTGATCTACTTTCTGGTTCTGTGAATCTATGTTACACCATCAAAAAAAAAAAAAAAAGTGGAGTCAAACAATATTGGTCTTTTTTGTGCCTGGCTTATTTCACAGCACCCTGAGCTCTAGGTGTGTCCATGGGTTGCATTTCCCTGCCAAAGCTGAACAACAGCTCATTGTGTGCAGAAGGCCACATTTTATTTATCCATTCATCGGTCCACCACACGTGGCTGCCACCGATTGGCAATTGTGAATAGTGTCATTCTGAACACAAGTGTGTAGTTATCTCCTTGAGATCCTTTCCCCACTTCTTTCGCATATAGGCCAAGATGTGAAATTGCTGGATCCTGAGATACAGGCACTCCTAAGTTTTTTTGTTTTTTAACAAATAATGACACAGGGATATCATAATATAACTGGTTTCTTTTACTGCACAACTGGGGATGGAAGCCAGGGCCTCACACAGGCTAAGCAAGTGCTCTACCACTGAGTTACATCCCCAGCCCCTTTTATTGTTTTATTTTGGGACAGTGTCTCACTAAGTGGTGGAGGTTGGCCTCCCACTTGCGATCCTCCTGACCCAGTCTCCTGAGTCACTGGGATTATAAGCACGCACGATTGCACCCAGCCTAATGATGAATTTTAAAAGAAGATGATATAATAACAGAAAAGGGAGTGCATGTTATGGCTGAAGGGAAATAAGGTGAGGAATGTGTTTTCCAAGCTTCACCCTTTTACACTCTCGCCTTGCCAATCTAATCTGGCTTCTTTTGGGGGCACATTGCCACATCATCTGATGTATTATCTACCTAGTACTTTTTTTGGAATTGTTTGCCTTTTTTTTTTTTTTTAAAACTCAAATACATTTTTAAAGGAGTCCGCCAGTGCTAGTTGACAGAAATCACAAAGTAACTGGAAAAAATAAGAACAATCCCACCCTGAAAGTCTTTACCTTGGAGCCAGACCCTGCTGTGTGCCGAGGCTCCCGGTTTAAGGCCTCATCCTGTTCTGGAAACATGGGGGTTAGCGATGGGTAGAAGTTAAAAGACATTCTAACACCAAACTGATTTTCTTCCTGGGCACCAGGAGCACTGAGGGAGAGCTGGAAAGAGGTGTACCCCCAAGCCTCGTCACCTGTACCCCCAAGCCTTGTCCCTGCAGGACCTCGATCCTGCTCCAAAACCGGGTTGATTCCCTCATTTAGGACACACCAGGTTGGGGCTGCCGAAGGCCAACGGGGGCTTTGGTGGTAGTGTGGAGTCACTTGGCAGAACCTTCCCAGAGCTGGAAAAGGAGCAGCTGGGGACCCTGGTTCATGGCCACGCCGCAGCCCCCTCCGTCCATCCACAGGGCTGTCATGGTGGGGTCCCAGAGCCCAGTGGCTCTAGCCATGGAGATTTGTTCTCTCACGACTCTGGAGGCAGGAAGCCCAAGATCAAGGTGGTGTGGGCAGGGTTGGTTCCTTCCGAGACCAGGAGAGAAGGACCTGCCTGTCACAGGTCACCACCTCCCTGTGTGGTGGTCCCCCTCTATGCTTGTGTTTAATCTCTTCTGTGAAGGACACCAGCCCTGTTGGTGACTGGGCCCACCCCAGTGACCTCATTTCAACTTAGCTCCCTCTTTACAGACCCTGTCTCCAAAGACGGGGCACGTTTCGAGGTCCTAGAGGTTAGGACTTCACCACGTGGATTTTTTTTATGGGGATGTGACTGACCCCTTTTCTCTGCGCCACCACGTGGGTCCCGACTTCTGGCCCCGCCCCTGGGCTCTGACTCTTGCCTTTTCAGGATTGGAATGTTCTTCTGTCCTCTGCTCCCCTTCATCCAGATGATCACCCTCTTCACCATGTTTTATGTCAAAAACGTGAGTCAGCCTGAGGTCACAGCCCCCCACCCTTCGCTGGGTCTCCTGGGACAGGGAGGTGGCTGGATCTGGGGGTGGGGGGCGCGACAAGGGATGAGGCCCTCCCCAGGTGGGGTCCCTCGGCTGCTCCTCTGGTGCAGATGGGAGGGGACGGCACCTGTCTCCGCAGATCAGCCTGATAGTGAACTTCCAGCCCCCGAGCAAAGCCTGGCGGGCCTCCCAGATGATAACCGTCTTCATCTTCCTGCTCTTCTTCCCGTCCTTCACTGGGGTGCTGTGCACGCTGGCCATCACCATCTGGAGGTAGGGGACGGTGGCCTGGGGTTTGCTTCCCAGGGCAGGTTTTATTATTATCCAGACACGGTGAGGCCGAGGGATCAAGAGTCAGCAGCAATAACCAATAACATTGGTTATTCCCCATTCCCAGGAGGAGGGGACGCTCCATGTCATGGGGGGACACACAGAGAAGCAGCAGGGATGGGGGGGGGGTAAGCGCCTATACTGTGGTTTCCATGGTAGGGGACGGGCAAGCCAGGGTAGGTAGGATTAGGATTGGCTCCGGGGCCCAGGGCTGCCCTAAGTTGTCTGGTACCTGGCCGTGGAGTGATTGGGGCAGGGGAAGAGACAGGAGTCTGATAAAGGAGACGGTTGCAGTGTGGGCTCTGGATTGATGGGTGCAGCAACCCCGTAGCTCTTGTACCATCCCAGGACCCAGGAGGCCCCTCCCCACACAGGCACGGTGCTCCCTTTGCCTGGGTTCCTTCTTTCCACTCTCTGACTCTCAGCTCCAGGCCTGTCTCCTCCACCCAACCCTCCCCATCATCCATGTGTACCTGATGGGCCTTCCCATCCTCCTCGGTCCACCCTTCTCCCCACCCCTCTATCTCAGGCCTGAATTTCTTTCCATCATCCCTCCATTCAAAGTCAGAAATGCCTTTGTCTAATTACTTACTCATGGATTTGTCCAATGTTCCCACTCGAATGTCAGTCCAAGAGGGAAAGACAAGGCCTGTCTTGTTTAATATAGAATCCCCGGGCTGACCAGCCCAGTACCTAGGAGAAGTCAAATAAACCTCGGTAGAAAGAATGAAGGAAAGGGGTGGGGGGTTGACCTGGGGGATGCAGGTGAAATTGGAGCCACCTGGGACTCAAGCAGCTTCAGGGCATGTTGCAATGTCCCTTGTCCTCCTATGAGAGCCACTGGTCTCTTCCTCTCCTCCTTATTGCCCTCTGGTTTCTGCTGGTGCATAACTGACTGCCCATGACGGACAGCTTCAGCCCCCAGAGCTAGCAGGCTTCCCTCTTGGGGTTTCCTAAATCAATTTTCCAAGAAAGTGACTCTCTGCCCACATTTACTTCTTTAATCCAAGGTACCACAGAGGTCACTGCCTGTTCTTTGAATTGACCTCTGTTGGGTCAGGTGGTACCTCTGGTCCTAGAACCAGTCATTCCAGAGGGGCTGTGAGCCAGAGGGCTTCTTCTGGAAGGGGAGGAGTGTGGGTAGAGAAGGCAACACCTGCTCTTTCCAGTCGCAGAGCCTAAAAAGGACCCTTGCTAGCAGGGCACAGCAGTGCTCATCTATAACCCCAGTGGCCCGAGAGGCTGAGGCAGGAGGATTACAAGTTCAAAGCCAGCCTCAGCACCTTAGTGAGGCCCTTAGCAGCTCAGCGAGACCCTGTCTCAAAATAAAAAAAATAAAGAAAAAAGGGGGGATGGGGATGTGGCTCAGTGGTTGAGTGCCTCTGGGTTCAATTCCCAGTATCAAAACCAGCAAAGCAAACAAAAATCCTGGTTCTAGAATGCCCACCTCTGAGTCTGGTGCCAGAGATGTTTTTCCACCCGGGTTTTTCCAGACTGAAACCTTCAGCCGACTGCGGCCCATTTCGAGGTCTGCCTTCCTTCATTTACTCTGTCTACCGCTGGATCGACACCCTGAGCGGGCGGCCTGGCTACCAGTGGGTGGTGTGGATCTATCACAACCTCATCGGCAGCGTGCACTTCTTTTTCATCCTCACACTCATCGTGTTGTAAGTGGGGTGCCTCCGGGAACCAGGGGGGAGGCCAAGAGCTGCTGTCGTTGGCACAAGATGAGCCCAGCCCTCGGGGTGCTTTGGTTGCAAAGCAGAGACCTACGGCGTAGCTTTGTGTTTGGGATGGTCCCGACTCTACCTCTGAATATGTGGTTTTCTGTTTTATTTTTTATTGGTTTATTTGTTTGTGGTGCTGAGGATGAGAGCCCAGGGCCTTGTGCATGCAAGGCAAGCGCGCGACCAGCTGAGCTATGTCTCCAGCCCTGGTAGTTTTTTTTAAAAAGAGTTTTTTGAATATCTTCTCTGAGTTTTTTGGTCCCCAAGGTATATAAAGAGAGCAATATCCACTTTGCCCCTTTCGAGAGATGATAAGAGAATAAAATGAAAAGAAGGATATGAGATCTTAGGAAAATTATAGGTATGATTCCTTCTGGGATTGTGATATGAAAAAAAAAAAATGGTTTGGGCATTATTTGCTACATTAGGATATTTATTTATTTTTTTTTTAAAAAGGTCCATTTCTGGCTTCTAGTAAAAAAAGTAGGTTTGTTACCCCTGTGCCTATTTTCCTGCACAGAGTAGTTGGTTGGTTGATTATGGCAGTTGCTGATGAGAAGCTTGACCCTGGTGTCATTTGAGATGGCAACTTCTTCTTTTTCTTCTTTTTATCTTTTAATATTTTTTTAGTTGTCAATGGATCTTTATTTTTATTATTTATATGTGGTGCTGAGAGTCGAAGCCAGGGCCTCCCACACGCCAGGCAAGAGCTCTACCACTGAGCCCCAGCCCCAGCCGAGGATGGCTCCTTCTTGTACAGAGAGTCAGAACTCAAAGGCACGGAGTCCCGGAGCCAGGTGGTGTAGACAGTGTGGGGTGATCCCTCCATTTCACAGAGGGAGGCGATGAGATTTACAGAGATGGGGTGACCTGCCGAGACAGGTTCCGGGCCCCAGGGCCTGTTAGTGGCAGGAGAGGCTAGAACCGGGTCTCCCTGTTCCCACTTACGCCTTCCCTCCCTGGCACCACGTTGCCACTGGCTTCCTTAGAACGCTGAGTTCTGATGGCTTTGCTCCTGTCCCCTTCTAACTGACTGGGTTTGTGTTCTTTGCAGTCACACTTCTGACACCAAATGTGTGTGGGGGGTGGTGGTGGGGGCTTGCCCTTTCACACCAACCAATTCTTTAACTCCCCGGACACCAGCTGGGTGTCCTACAGTTCACTTTAGTTCTGACATTCGTGTCACACTCCCCAAGGGTTCAGTCCTATGAGTCCACCACCACTTCAGACGCTGCTCCCAAGACCCACTTCTGACCGACCGGCTATCAATTTGAGGGTTCCCCTCAACCCCCTCCTCAGATTTGATAATTTGCTAAGATGACTCACCGATCTCTGGAACATACAATTACCAGTTTATGATAGAGAATGTAACTCAAGTAGAGCCAAGTGGAAGAGATGTCAAGGACAAGGTGTGACGGAGGGGGTGGCGTGGTGACTCCACGTCCACTCCTAGGCAGGCATGCTTGATGATGAAATCTTTGGTGTTTAACTTGATTTCCAGCCATTCTGTCCTGCCCACGGTCACGAGGGACAGGCGCTAAAAGGTCCAACCCTTTCATCATACCTTGGTCTTTCCGGTGGCTGCCCTCCATCCTGAAACCATCTGGGGGCCATCGACAACCAGACATTTCATTCACATTCAAAGGACACTCTGGAGACGCCAAGGAATTTAGTGTTGGTGTGCCAGGGACAAAAGATTAGATAGGTAGACAGACAGACAGACAGACATCTGGGAGCTGGTTAGAAATGCAGAATCTGATCTCTGCCCCAGAGCTACTAAATGAGAATATGCATTTGAACCCAATCCCAAGAAATGTGTATTACCTGAAGTTTGAACAGCATTGTCCAAATTCACAAACTCGAGATGCATCTTGGAACCATGCATATGTCTGACCGCACGCCCAGAGACATGCAACTCGTGGGTCTGAAGACCGGTCAAAGTGTGGGTCTTATCTGCACCTCCCAGGTGATCTCATGTGCAGCCCGGTGAAGAACCATTACTCTATTGCATTTAGCCTGAAACTCACGGTGATTGGAACTTTCAGGAACATAGTGGAGTCAAAACCCATTTGCAAGCAAATATTCCAGTCCCCTTGTACCCAGTTGGCATTTGGAGCCTGCAACTGTCACCCTGTCCCTTCTTCTCTTCCAGAATCATCACCTATCTTTACTGGCAGATCACAGAGGGAAGGAAGATTATGATCAGGCTTCTCCATGAACAGATCATTAATGTAAGTCTCACTGGGTCCTGTGTTATCCTTCTCCTTTAAAACCCTTTATAGTAGACATTTCCAAACATACTCCAAAACAGAGACAGAAAATAGTACAATGAACCCCCATAAGCCCACCATCCAGCCCCGGCAACCATCAGTCAACCGTTCGAAACTCTCATTGTACCTACACTACATCTTCCCTGCAAATCTCTGCATTATTTTAAAGCAAATCTTAGGCCTTGCATTATTTTTTTTATCTGTTTAAAATTTTATATGCATCTCTTTGAGATAAAGACTTTAAAAACATACCCACAATATATCCTCATTGCACCTAAAAGAAAACTTACCAAGAATTGACTGTGATCATCTGATACCCAATGTCAAGCTTCCCCACGGTTCCTTCCAGGCTCTTTTTGCATCATAGACGAGCAACGCTGTTCACCGTAGTGTATCTGCTGTTTCCTTTGTGAGCCGGTGACTGATTGGGAGCCACTGCTGGATGCCACTGCCCAGCATCACAAGAGAGTATCAAACCAAATCTCACTAGCCTGGAAAAGAGCAAAACTCCAACTCTGAAGTACAGATTCTACTTAATGTGCATGATTTTCACACTGTAGTAAAGTTGGAAAATCACAAGTCAACATCTTCTTGGGGACCCTCTGTACTTCATGGGTGGTGCTGTGCCCCTCTGTGACATCCCCTTCAGATAGATAATGTCTAACTGTCTAATTTCTGTGATGTTAAGAGCGATAATTACCTTGAAATGCAGCACCTAGAGGAAAGTCAGCGTAAATGCATGATTTGTTTCCTTTATTTACATTTTCATAATGTTGAGTCCACATCCTTGGGTATTAGTTGGTTAGAGCTGCTGTAACAAATACCACCAATTTGGTGACTTGAAACAACAGAGATTTATTATCTCAGAAATTTATCATCAAGTCAGAAGTTCAAAATTAAAAAGTTGACAGGGTTCCTGGTTCCTTCTGAGGCTGTGAAGGAGAATCTGATCCATGCCTCTGTCTTACTTTTGGTCACTGCTGGTCACCCTTGGTGTTCCTTGGCTTGGGGTTTCATAATGCCAATCTCTGTCTCCATCTTTACAAGGACTTTTTCTCGATTTCTTCTTCTCTTCTTTTCTAAGGACTTCTCATTGGGTTTAGGGTCTATTCTAATTCAGGCTGATCTCATCCCACAATCCTTAATTTAATTGCATCTACAAAGACCTTATTCCCACCTAAGGTCATATTCACAGATCCTGGCATTTGAACTTGAACATATCTTTTTAAAAGGGGGACACACTATTCAATCCATTACACCTAATAACTTCCAAATACAGCCTATGGGGATTTTAAAATTATCATTATGAATGTAAAGTTTAAGTATATGTTGATATCTTTAAATCACAGACATTTTTTAAAACTTAGGGCTCATTTTTCTTTTTAATATTTATTTTTCAATTGTAGTTAGGCACAATACCTTTATTTTATTTATTTATTTTTATGTGGTGCTGAGGATCGAACCCAGGGCCTCGCACGTGCTAGGCAAGCGCTCTACTGCTGAGCCACAACCCCAAAATAGCAGTCATTTTTATGCTCAAAGAGTCTCATTTGCTAGAAAAAAACCTAAAGAATTGAATTAACTTCTGGGTTCTTTTGACATGACACCAGAAGTATTTGATAGGATCCTTACTCTCCAAAAGAAACAGATGTTCTAGGTTCATCTTGGTTCATTTCCTGTTACAGAAGAGGAAGCAGCTGTTCCTTCAAAGAGTCTTTGTGAAATGGTAGTTAGAGACCATTGTCTAGGCATGGGGGTGCTTATTGATCCTGGGCTGATTTTCTATCCTTCTAAGTACTAACATGGCTGTGATATGAGATCTTGTATCTAGACATTTGGGAAAGAAATAGGACTCCCAGTGTCTTATCTACTTATCTGTGGGGTTTCAGATAATTTGAGTTTATTCTTTCAGAAGGTAAAGGAAGGGCGTGGGTTAGTAATGCTCTTTTTCCTCACCCCCAGAAGCTTTACCAATGCTCCTCTGATGCAGACCTCTGAATGTTTTGGGCAAGTCTTATGCAGATCTCAACATAGGAAGGATTTGATTCTAAAGCCTTGGGTTTGTAAGGGCAGTGCCAGGTAAACCGGGGAGAGGTTTGGATGACGTCATTTGAAGGCAGCATGAGCATCACTACAGACCTTCCTGCTTGGGAGTCTCACCCAGAGGATGGACCCCAAAGGCAGGGACATCATCTCCAGAAGAACCCAGTCAAAGGCTTGGGAATAGACTTTGCAACAATCCTTCTCAAAGAATGACCACTGGCATAAAATGTTAGAAATACAAATTCCCGATACTTCCCTAATGATACCAATTCAGGCAACACGTAACATTTACTGAGCACTTACATGATGCCTGGCATTGTTTTAAGTGATGAACAAAATATATATATATAATTGAATCCTAACTAGGGCACATGTGTTTCTTTAAACTCCCCATTTTAAATTAGGGAAACCAAGGCCTACAGATTGCATTGATTCATCCTTAATTGTAGGGTTACTACATGGAGGAACAGAAAACTCCAAAGTTTGTGTTCTTAAACACAATATTGTTTACCTCTCTGAATAAAAATTGATCGGGGAAAGCCTAGGAGTTTGCATTTTTGCACACTCTTAGGTAACTCTAATTCATCCTAGAGAGTGGAGACAGCTGCTACAGGCCAGAGATTTCTAAACACGTTGGCTGCATCCAAGACACCTGGAGGACTTGTTAAAAATTCCCAAGGACATTTTTTTCCTTACAGAAGAATCTGAATTAATTAATAGAAGAGGAATAAGAGATGTAGAAAATAGCTTTGAAGCAAATAATACACAGGTGGAATATTCTACGTATTTCCTGCTGTAGGGATTTTCAAGGAAGTGATTACTCTCTCCAAGGAGAAGACGTGTTCCCTTCTTTAGTTCCTCTGTCCAATTTTGAATTGTTCATCTCCATCAACACAGAGATCAAGTGGACCAAGGAAACCCACTGGACAGCCTTTGGGACAGAGCCCTGAGGTCTGGCATCTCAGCAGGAAGACAGGACACGGCCAGGCAGTACCAGGTTGCAGAATAGGCTCTGGGGCAGGAGTGTGCCAAGAAGGAGGACACCGTTACAAATGCAGGTTCTTGGATCCAGAGTCATAGACACCAACCATGGACCCAGACAGAATTTAGGCACAGGCAAGGCTTTATTTAGGGCCAGAAGTAAGACACAGCATAATCCGAGAGAGTCCAGCCGGCTCAAGCAAAGATCAAAGGTGTACAGTTCCATGGCAACTGTGGGGTGGGAAAGACTCAGTCTCTTGATGTCATCACATACGCAGAGGTGGGACTTCAGTTCACCTGTGCCCTTCTTCATGGAACACCTGTCTCATGACTCTCCTAGCTCCACCTAGGGGTGTGCTTTTTACCATGTGAATAAGGTACAGGTGACTTCAGGGACTATTCTACACCTGCGTTTGCCCCAATCCCAATTCCCCTTATCTTCTGGGAAAGTTTCTAATATTGCCATTTTCAGAATAGGGTAGCCCCACCTTGTTTGATGGTAGCCGGCATTTCTGCTGACCACAGAGTCTCAGAAGGCTGAGCTCACTTTCCCAGCTTCCCATCTCCTGGTGGGTTACCTCACTCTCCTAGTCTTGAAGTCTACTTGATCTTCTAACTCCTGATTTTCTGGCCTGGCTGAGAAACCCACATAAGACTCAGAGCTCACTTGGCTATCTTTTTCCCCTGAGAGGTATTATCTTAATCCAGGGGATCCTGACTGTGTCAATACCGAAACCTTCAGTTACTTCTAGTTCTAGGCTAGAGGAGGGTCTTGCCCAAGCCTGGTAGGGGAATTGCTTTGGAGGAGCCTCTTACAATGCAGGAGGGCTCTGGGGGTCCGGGTAGGGGGTCACTGGCCTTGCTGTGAAATGCTTCTTCTCTTTTCATCAAAAGAAAATATGAAAACAGTCTCCATCCCACTTCTGGTACCTTCTTTTAACCAATTTCTCCTTAATACTACACCATCATTCATTCACCCATGGTTTGATTTTTGTTTTTCTTTTCCTTCTTGGCAGGAGGGCAAAGATAAGATGTTCCTGATAGAGAAGTTGATCAAGCTACAGGATATGGAGAAGAGAGCGAACCCCAGCGCACAGATCCTGGAAAGGAGGGAGGTGGAGGTGAGGCCAGAGGCTGCCCCGGGAGCTCAGGGATGCAAACTAGCCCTTTGTGAAAAGTGCATCTGGGAACTAGAGACCAAGCTGTTGGGGTCACATAAGGGCTCTTCACTTTCTATGTTTAAGCATTTCTGTGGTTTTTCAATTAAAAAAAAAATCAATTGATATCAGGTACACTGGCACACTCCTGTGATCCCAGCAACTCAGGAGGCTGAGTCAGGAGGATTACAAGTTCAAAGCCAGCCTCAGCAACTTAGTGAGGCCCTGAGCAACTCAGGAAGACCCTATCTCAAAATAACAAATAAAAAGGGCTGGGGATGGGGCTCCGTGGTAAAGCATCTCTGGGTTCAATCTCTAGTACAAAAAAAAAAAAAAAAAAATCAGTTGATGATTTAACATATTCCATGGTTGGCTTGTTCTAGATGCTGGATTATTAGGAACAAAACAAAGCCCCTGTCCTCACAGAGCTCACATTTGTTCTCTAAAACCCGCTGATGCAGAGGTATATCCTGCTGAGATGAAAAGTACCCCGACATCTCATCCCACCATTAATGCTTCAGCGTATATTCTTCCAGATCTTCTTTCCCTGGGCACAGGCAATCACGCCTCTATCTACTGACACTTTATTACAAAAGTGGGGCCATATTATATAAATAGTATCATAACTCTACCACGATATACACCTAACACTGTATCTTGAATATTATTTTATTCTGTACCTATTTAGCCATTTCATTTATTCCCAGGTGTTTTTTTTTTTTTTTTAATACTTAAAATAGTGTGTAATGAAGCACTTTTTGTTAGAATTATCTTAGGCGAGAATTGCTGCCACAGGTCATGCATGTAATAATGCTAAGAGATATTGCTATATCACCCTCTTAAAAAGATTCTGCTGACTTTAGTCCTGCCAAGAGGGTATAAAGAGGGCAGAAAGCCCTGCTCCAATTCCAAAGCCTCTGCCTGCTTCCTTGGTGCCCTGGAAAATACAGATAAATAGGAAATCCACCTCAATTCAAATGGAAAGTGTGACCTTTTTTTTTAATATTTATTTTTTAGTTTTAGGTGGTCACAATATCTTTATTTTATTTTTATGTGGTGCTGAGAATCGAACCCAGTGCCTCACGCATGCTAAGCGAGCGCACTACCCCTTGAGCCACATCCCCAGCCCGGAAGGTGTGATCTTGACACTGTAATTTATTATCGGTCGCATGTTAATACTGCCAGCATTATTTGGGGAAGGGATCTAGAGGCTCAACTCGAATCCTCTCAGCCACCTGTCATGTTTGTACCCTCGTCACCTTAGGTCCTAATACGACCCAGCCCATTGTAAACACTCAGTAAATATCTGTGGAATGAATGAATGAAATCATTGTCCCTAAAACGCAATACTTCTGTGGCTGAGGCTTGGTCTTAATCACCAGTCCTTCGTTTTAAAGTAATGAGAAGTTCACAAAACACACCAACTGTGCCACAAGACCCAGGACCTACGTTCTTTCCCAGTGACATGGTGGCCTTTTTTCCTTTCTTTTCAGCAACAAGTGCCTTTGCATTGGGGGGAACAGGCTGCTGCTGCTCCTGGTAAGCAATGGAACTGTCAGAGAGTAAGACACTAACTTGTCCCAGTTCACGACACAGCCCAAGGCAGAGGGTCAGCATTGCTCCGTGGATCATGGGATGCAAATGGGCTGAAGCAAAAATCCAAGAATAATTGTTTTCTGTCTGTCCTAAGACGGGAGTTTGCAACGTCACCAGAACCTGGTTCCTCTCTGGGGTTCTTTCCCATGTTAGTTTGTTTTGCAAATAGTCTCCTCCTGATAATTGCAAAACCTTTTTTATCAACCCCTCGTATCTCCTTGGGTTCAGTCTAGTGGGAAAGAGCAGGGGACCTAGAATTCTCCTGGCATTTCATTGAATCTGCTGGGGCAGTGTGCCCATCCATGAGCCGATCGCTGTGGCTTTGAAGATGTGGCGGTTTCCTTGGTCAGATCTGAGTGACATGCTGCAGCTGTGGGTACAGCCATAGAGATGACAGGCACTGAGAGAGGGAGGAGTGATGTCAGAAGGGGAACAAATGCTGGGGGTTGGGGACAAACCAACCCTTTTGTCTTTTGTGGATAGCGTTTACTGAGACAGCATGGCGGGAATTCAAGGGAGGATTCCAGAAAGTAAAAGGGGGGAGATCAAGGAGGCCTGAGAAGCCGTGGGACCTTTGAGATCCATCTGGTCACTCCCTTACAGAGACAGGGCAGTGTGGGTTTGCACTGACCACTCTCTCCTGTGTCCAACCCAGACCTGCGATTCAGGCGATCATTTCAAGAAGATAATCGAAAGGTGTGACGATCATCCTAAAGAGACACCCATCAAATGAAGAAAGAAAATAAAAGGGGGAACACTTCTTCCATGATACCTGGGCCTCTAGGAAGAGGAAGCCACACCTTAAGCAGGAACCGGAACTGACCCTCAGTGTAAATGCCAAAGTCAAATTGGGCCGCCTCTGCTACTTTTGAAACCCAACTGCTGATTTTTCAAGGTGGCCTACTCGAGGATTTCCCAGTAAAGACTGTTGTGATATTGAAATTACCCCACAAAACCATGGTTAGAGATAATCTGGGAATAGTCCATTTTGTCTCCAAGAATTTTTGTTTGTTTGTTTGAACGACTGGTCCTTAGGAATCTCTCTTCCCACAGTTCCCAGGACCTGGCAAAGGTTTACAAACTGGTGCTAAGAAAAGTGGTCCAGATTGAATAAAACGTGATACTCAATCAGGGATACAAAGTGTCTGAATTGTGAAACTTGCATTTGTTGGTGATTTAGAATTAAAACATCCCCCATGTGACCCAAAGGTGCAATAAAGTCTTATCTCTGAAACTTTATTTCATATCAAGTACAAGAGCTTTGGGGTTAGACCAGGGTAGGGAAGGTAGGGGAGAAAAGTTGCCCCCTAAGGTTTTACACATGATCATCAGAATCTTAGGCTGCACCCATCATGAAATTAGTGGTGGTGTAGGGTGCATATGAAATGAATGTGTGTGTGTATGGTGGTTTTTTTTTTTTTTTTTTTTTTTTTTGTAGATTTGCCAAATGATTGACAAGGAGAACCTCTTTGTTCTTAAAACTGAGGGGTTCAGGGCTGGGGCTGGGGCTCAGCATTAGTGCACTTGCCTGGTATATGTGAGGCACATACTGTGTATAAATGAATAAAGATCTATCAACTAGAAGAATGTTTAAAAAAAACATTAAAAATAAAACTGAAGGGTTCATAGGCCTCACCTCCACTTTTCAATAGTACCGTGGGCCAGGTGCTGTAGCTCATGCCTATAATCCCAGTGGCTTGGGAGGGTGAGGCAGGAGGATCATGAGTTCAAAGCCAGACCCAGCAAGGTGAGGCGTTAAGCAACTCAGGGAGATCCTGTCTCTAAATACAAAATAGGCCTGGGGATGGGGTTCAGTGGTGGAGTGCTTGTGAGTTCAATCCCTGGTACCCACTCCCCTCTGGTGGGTGGGGGGAGGACCAATAGCACCATGAACTACAGACCAAACCTTCAATACATGGGACTTTGTGGGGGTGCTTGATTCTAATCACAGTGCTTTCTGTGGCCATTTAATTAGAGAACCTCTGTGTTTTTTAGGATGAATAGGGAGAGCTTCTTTTGAGTTTATGCAGGATCTGATCCTTCAAGTGGCTGCCGTGAAACCAGTTCGTTTCTTATGAGGCAATGAGACATCGTGTGTGAAGTTCAATTATGAGGAGTGACTGAAGTAGTGAACAACTTGCATAGGTTTTTATAATCTTTGAATTGATGGCAAGCGTTAAGAATTAAGCTCATGCCAAATCAATGTTACATTCTTATGCCACTTTTTGAGGAGGAAGTTCCAATTTGAAGCAATTTGAAATTGTATCATTTCCTTTAAAAGGAAGGCCAGTGCTTAAAAAAAGATGGATGATATCTTAGTGCCTGTCAATGAGCTTAATTCTTTTTTCTATCTTTTAGTATTGGCAGCATTTAAGAGGAATTTTAAAAGTTGGGAATTTTCCATAGCATTTACATCTGACCAACTGCTAGACAGAACCAAAGACAGGTGCTCAGGTGTGGACAGAAAAGTTCTGAATTATGACTAACACCTTAGCTGGCACAGTGGCTCATGCCTATAATCCCAGTGACTCAGGAGGCTGAGGCAAGGGGGATTGCAAGTTCAAGTCCAGCCTCAACAATCTATTGATACCCTGTCTATAAATAAATAATTTTTTAAAAAGGGCTGGGGCTCAGTGGTAAAGCACCCCCTGGATTAAATCCCCTGTATCAAAAAGAAAAAGTGATGAATGCCTTACACCCGTGTTGAGTCGGGGTTCCCCCCAAACACCAGTGTGTGTTTTCCAACTTGGGGACCTCATTCTCAGGTAAATCCTAATCTGTGAGGTTGGGGATGGGGTCCGAGTCTGCATCTCTAACAAGTGCTGTGGGTCTGAGGACCTCGCTCTGAGTTGTGCACATCTTTTTTCTTTATCTTCCTAGCAGTCGTGTTCTGCCAACATGTTTTCCAAAAACACTTCTGATTACTTTTTGGTTGAACCTCATCACATTGTCGCTAGGAGGCAATGGGCCAGTGCTGTGATTACCATTTGACAGATGAGAACTTGGGCACACACACAGGGAGGTGCTGTGTCTAAGGTCTCACAGCTAGTTAGTGACAGAATGGAGGACTCGCTTGGATGGGTTTCTCTAGCTCCATGGTTCCAGACTTGAGGGACCCTGGGAGGAGCTTACTGAAACACTAACCACCGGGCCACAAGCAGAGTTTCTGATGCTGGGCTGGGATTTGAGAATTTGTATTTCTAACAACCCCCGTCCAACAGTGAATACTTTATCCCAGCTGATTCCCAACCTCTTCATATTCAGTGTTGTACTATTAAATTTTGAGTAGAAGAAATGGGGTCACCAGTCTTCAGTAACTTTGACCAAAGAAGTCCCATAACCTCACCCAGACGTGATCATCAGTCTCTGCGAACAGGGGTCTCAGCGGTTGTTTGGAGCATGTCCATAACCCACACCCTGTCCTCGAAGCTCTGGTTTACCATCTTGTTGAAGCCCATTCCCAATTTAGGAAATTGTTAGGTGTAGCTTCACTGAGAAATTTGTATCTATTAAAAATACATCTGTGTGGGACAAATTCTTGCTGAAAAAATTGCAGACACCAATCACCACATATGAATATGATTACTGTACAGTGAAGTAGATTTCACAAGCTGCTGTTTTTGTTAGCTACTTCTGCAGCATTCTGGGGCTTACCAGGCAGTCCAATGAGCAGCAGAGGATGTAAGCTCCACCTGCATTGATTTTCTCTTGGAAAGAATACTACCATGTTTTTGGCCAGCCCCTCCTTGATTATACTGAACCATGAATCTTATCTACAACCCTGAATTTTTGTCTCACTCTATAACTATTCCCAGTTTCCCTGAGGAAGCTTCCACTTGGATATATTCCATAATGCATTCCTTCAACAAACGTTTATTGAGCATTTATTATATGACTGACCCTATAAGAGGTGCTGGCAATGATTTAAGACATTTCTCAGTATTGAGTCCCTGCTATGAGCCAGAAATGATAATAAACAAGGGGCAAGAATGTGAGCTCTGGCCAGTGGCACATGCCCATAACCCCAGCCATTTGGGAGGCTGAGACAAGAGGATCACAAGTTCAAAGCCAACCTCAGCAACTTCGTGAGACCCTAAGCAACTTAGACTGTCTCAAAAAAAAAGTGATTTCTGGAATTAGATCATCTGGGTTTGAGTCCCGATATTCATCACTGCTCTCTGTGACTTTAGGCAAGTTACTGAACTTCCCTGTGCTCTGGTTTCTTTTACTGTGAAATGTGATTATAATGATACCTACAGGTCAAATACACAGGAAACACTTGAACAGATCCAATACATGGTAGGCAGTCAGTGGTAATTAACAAGCATTTACATGTACTCATTTAATCATGAGGAGGTACTCTACATACTACCCCACATCAGACTTGGATTTTCTGATCATAAATTCTATTATTTTTAAACTCTGTATTAAGCCTGCCAAGGAAGTGTTTAGCAGTACTTATTAATGTCTTCATTGTTTATTCAAATCCCTGGATATTCTTGTGGAAAAGAGCTGTGACCTAGAGTCAGACCTCCCTGGATTTGAACCCCCAACTGAACTGTGGACTCGGAGACCTTGGGAAAGTGCCTCAGTTTCCTCATCAGTAAAATGAGAATAATAACACTTCTATCTATAATCTTTGTAAGGGTTCAATGTCAGGCATGTTAAAACCCTGGCACTGTTCCTGGCCTATAATAGACAAGAAATTTTGGTTATCATGAGATGGAGCTTGGCTACATCACCAGCTGTGAGGTTCTGAGGCTGCCCACCTTGTGCACAAATTTTGGTATTTTCATTTGTAAAATACGGATAAGCCTAGAGGTTCCTGGGAGCTGCCTCCTGCACCTCCACAGCGCACCTCTGCCCCCTGGTGGTTTGCAGCTCTCATTCGAGATGCTGTCAGATTCCTCCCGTTGGTTCCAAGGCTTCTCTCCCTGTGGCTGCTGCACACTGAAGCCTCACCTGAGCGGCTTCCCCAAGTTCCTTAGGGCCTCAGAATGTGATGCTGGCTACACAGTTTTCCTCTTGTGCTCCTTTTAATGACTTTATTAGTATGGTCACAAGTTTGACATCTATAGCACACTGTTAACAGAGCTGAATACAAATATTTCAAGTAAGTAAATTACTTAGATGTGGCAAGTTTTAAAATGTCAACTCCAAGTGATCATGCAAGTCCCATGCACTACGTCTGAATCCCGACCGCACAGCTCATCTTGTGCTTATCCTGACTGGGTCTGGGTGTGGGCCTCAGCTGGGTCGGGGAGGGGCTGCTGTGCCTTTTTTCAGATCCAGATTTTCAAGAGCGAAAGTGTTGAACTTGGGCATTCCATGGAGCATGGCAACACCAGGGTTTAATTTGTTCAGGTAAATATGTAATCACCCACTATTGCTTGCCCTGTTGCTTGGCCACCTGATCCCCCAGGGCTTGGGCTAGCACAAAGGGTATTTGGATCTCCCTGCATGAGGCCGACAGGCAGTTTCTGAACCTGTGTGTCCCCAGGATAAAAGTCTAGACCTGCGGGGGACAGTCTTCCAACATGCTGTCGGTGATGTAGCTGGAACCAAGGTGGGATTCGTAGTAATTTTTTTCATCAAAGGTATTGACAGTCCAACCAACGACCTGGATTCCTTTAGCTGACCACTTCCTCAAATAGTCCCTGAAGAACAAGAAAAACCAATCCTGTTAGACATTCACTGAGTGC